TACTTCGAAATATAACCATGGTTATCTGCCGACCATTGACCTACCGAGTTTCGTTTTCATGTCACTCGTTCAGGTGAGCGTCAACTACATCACAACCAATCTGGAGCACATCAGGGCTGGTGCAGCCTCTGCAGGTAACTACGCAGAATCCCACTTTCTGATTGCATCCTTTCCGTGTGTTGTGCTGCTGTTTGTCCCTAAGTTCCTGGTTTATATCAGTCACTAAGTGGCTTAAGGTGCTTGCTAAGTGACTAAGGTTGTTACTAGTTCCTGGTTTATATCAGTCACTAAGCGGCTTAAGTTACTTGCTAAGTGACTAAGGTTGTTACTAGGTTCCTGGTCTATATCAGTCACTAAGTGGCTTAAGGTACTTGCTAAGTGACTAAGGTTGCTACTAGGTTCCTGGTCTATATCAGTCACTAAGTGGCTTAAGGTACTTGCTAAGTGACTAAGGTTGTTACTAGGTTCCTGGTCTATATCAGTCACTTAACGGCTTAAGGTACTTGCTAAGTGTCTATGTTTGTTACTGTGTTCCTGGTTTATATCAGTCACTAAATGGCTTAAGGTACTTGCTAAGTGACCAAGGTACTGTTCTTCCTCACACCCAAAGACTCTTTCCCAGTGCTGCACGTCCGGCGCTGTGGCGTTGTGCATAGGATTGATTGCAATGGTTTGTGAGGTGCCGAGCAGAATGCAGGGATACTTGTACCACGTTTCAGTGCAAATGCTAAACTATAGCAAGACGAATAGCAGTACTGCGAGATGTGTGTATTCGTCTGGACTAAGTGTTTGAAAGAAGTAGATCCATGATACAGTCACTACGCCAGTGTGTCGAGGGTCACGGAAGACTTGATGATAAATGCAATGGTAGATGTGTGCTGTATATAGGGTACCCATCCTGTGGTAGAGAGCAGTACAACCTCATACTTGACTCTCTGTTTCCTGTTCAAACTGCCCCTTTGTCATGATCGAATAAAATCTATACGTTATTAAAATTGATGTGTACTCGCAGTGCAGTAGTAGTGCTATCTCAAGGCGAATAGTAAAGCTGCGAAATGTGTGCATTTATCCGGTCTAGGTAAAGTAGATGCATATGCTTTTGTAAAGAGGAAAATGTATGTGATGTTAACAATAATTCAGCACAATCTCAAGCGTAAAAATCTTAGGCTAAACACACTACCAATCCATATTGCAGCCATGTTCGACTCCGTAATGGTGGAAAGCCATGGCAGCAAAGTTCCCCTCTCAGCGGTATGTATCGGGA